ATGGGTTGTTTTAGAAGTCCAAATATAATATATTATCTATTTTAATAATTTAACTATTTATTATTATTTAAGACCTACCAATCTCAAGGTTCATAACTGAATTATGTAAAAAAAAAAAAAAAGTTCTCCTATTTTCTACATCATTTCTCTAATATCCAATCCCATTGTCCCAGTGCCAATTGCCTTCGACGAATCAACCTCAACCTAACAACTTCGAAAATAGAAAAAAGAGGCTTTGCCGACGGCCTAATGCAAGCAAGTACAACATTGCTCTCGTCATTAAAAGCTTAAAGACAAAGGGACCACCAAAGGGATTACTAACTTCTTAATAAAAACTAAAAACAATATTATTTTTTTATATGAATCATATATTACCATATTAAGTTTCAACTTTTAAGTTTTGTAAGTTTATTTTATTTTATTTTAAAATTTTGTCTTATACTTATTAATAGATATATTCTAACAAAAAAATTAGCATATTCTCTCTATTTCAGAGTAATTAATATTTTTTATTTACAATTTATCCTAGAATAATAGTCATTTTTTTATTTTAAGGAAAAAAATAATTTTTTTCTGCTTTAACCCCATAACTATTTGTTAACTGTAATTATTTATCTTCTGACTGAAATAGATATTTATTTTTAGTTATTTTTTAAGTATAAAATAAGTAAAAATAGAAATTGTTTTCAAATCCTTCATTTAAAGATAAAACAAAAAATATATTATTCTAGTATCGATGGAGTATTATTTAAATAATAAAACTTACTGATTTTTTATTATCACAAAAAAATTGTACAATTTCCTTTTAGGATTTAAAGTTGTTGAGATTACAAATAAAATTAAATATTACGATAATATTGAAATTATATAGAATATAATTGTATCGGAGTAAAAAAAAATAAAAGAAAAAAAAAAGAAAGTGTAGATCCATAAAGGGAACATGTATGAACCTAATAAAAGGAAAAACATTGGATATAGTTATATAGAGAAAAGAATAAGAAGATAAATTAATATAAAAGGACGATAAATTAATATAAAGTGTAATTAACTTATACAATGAAAAAAAAAATTATTTGATTGTAGAAAGTGATTGGGTGAAGAGATAAGATGTTGCCGTATTTTATATTTGCCAACCTCACCTGTGGATATGGTTGATCTCTTCATCCTACCAATAACAAAAAGAGCATTTTCTATTATGAAAATTTTGAAAATAAGATTTCGTAGTAAAATGAAAAATGAATTCCTTTCAAACACTTTGATTATTTATATTGAAAATGAAATAATTTTGTCATTTAATATAAACTTTATTATAAATAGATTTTATGTTATGAACATTCACCAAATATCATTTTAATTTATGATATAAAAATAAATTTTTAAAATTACAATGTATTATTTTAAGATTTGAAAAACTAACCTTTCACTAAAATTCCCCGTTCCACCGCTGATGCAGCCTGAGGACTTCCTTCACGACTGCCTGGAGGTAAGAGAGATTTGGGAGGTCGGAGCCACGCACATAGCGGCGGCTACCGACGGCGGCATCTATCTCTTGGTGGACCCTTGTCTGTATGTCTTGGTGGAGAACCATCCTTGCCACGATCCATTCGAGAAGAATTGTCACTGTGTCCGTACCACTAATATCGTTTTCCTTTAAAAAAATCCATTTGCCACAAAAATTAATTCAGTAAACTCTCTATTTAATGTAAGGGGTTAATTTTGTCCCAAGAATATATATATATATATATATATATATGTATACAACGGGTTAATCTAATCAAATTTATATACATCATTCCCTTATCCTTAGTGCTTTGCTATCATTGCCGGAAGAGGATCGATTGAGTGATTCAGATATATTTTGCCGTTTTGTGGGTAAGATTATTTTTTCACAACACTCATTTCTAAGCTTCATTTTACTGTGAAAAATAAAATTGTTTTTATATTAAGGAAATGAAGCATATAAATTTGATTAAATTAACCCGCTATATAATTTTTTAAGACAAAATTAACCGGCTACATTAAGCAGAGAGGTTGTTTTAACTAAAAAATATTAGTCTTTTAAATTAGATTAAATGTTAAAATAAAAAATTTTATTTTAACTTTTATTAAAATTTATAAAAATGATATAATAACCTTAAAATATATTAAAATATATATAAATACGAAAATATCTTTTTTTTTTTTTGTTTTCCGGCCGGTATCCGAGGTTTTGCGACTAGTCCGAACTCGACTCACGTCGCGCACCTGAAAATGATGGATGAGTCTCCCAACGAAAACTGCTGCGATACGTAAACATGTTAAACCATATATACATGTGCCATTTTCGGAATCTTGCCTTTTCCTTTTACTTTTGGATTTGACAGTGATTAATCATTCCTCTACCGTTGCCTCAGTTGGGCCTTATCTGTAGATACAAAGATTCAAGACTGTTTTTCCAAGCTTTCAATTTTCCAGCTCAAAAAGACCCAATTAGTCATCTTTCATCGACAAACTAGGTTCCTAAATTCAGATGTTTGGACATATAAATTCACAATGACAAGACAACATAGTGGATAGATTTAGGACTGTTTTCTTAGTTACCATTAGACTTCCATTTTCTTCTAATGTCATTTTCTCGAATAAATTTTATATGGGATTTGTTCTCACCTTATCCAATCCAAAACAGTAAGTTTTTAGGGAACAGTTTTTGTTATCTCTAATAAAACTAACAAAAGTATGGGTTTTTTCTTATATCATTTGATCAGTATAAATTGTATAATAATTTTTTAAAAGATATACTTAAATGATAATATCAATAATTAAATATAAATTATTAACTAATATTAAAATTTATTCAAACAATCCTGTAACATGGTGGATGTTATTAAAAAAATATTATTTTTTTATTACACAATAAAAAGCAACAATCTCTTATCTTTTATCTTACCTCACTTACATAACATGCAACTCAAACTCAAGATCTGTTATTCCTAACAGAAAGAGATAATCACTGAATTATTTAAGTTGTTGACTAAAAAAATATTATTTTAGATAAATAAATATTAAAAGGATTTTTAAAAAAGTATGGGATCGTATATCTTATGGCCTTGGAACTACATATTAATAAGATTTTTTTATTTTGTGTGTTAATGGTGTAATAAATATATTTTTTATAATTAATTTTTATTAAAAATATAAATATTAATTTTGATTTAATTAATTAAAATTATTCATATATTGGTAATACTAAAATATATGATAATTGTTACAATTTTTTTTTTTTTGAACATATATTGCAAGGGCAGGTTTTGAACCCTACCGGGAGAAGGGGAATGCACCATAGCTATGCCACTAGGCCTCAAGGACCAGAGCAATAATTGTTACAATTTTTAATATAAATTAATTTAAAAAATATGTTTATTATATTCTAAACTTATATCTTTAAAACACGTATTACACAAATCCATATTAACAAGAGATGCGAAATCTCCATCATTGCTTACAAAATATATATTAATTACAAAATATACAATTTGCACAGGACGTGCTGCAAAACTGCAAACTTAAAAAGTTTACTGAATTAATTTTTGTGGCTGACGGATTTTTTTAGTAGGAAATGATATGTCGTAGTACGGACACAGAGGCGATTCTTCTCGAATTAATGGATCATGGCAAGGATGGTTCTACACCAAGACATACAGATAAGGGTCCACCAAGAGATAGATGCCGCCGTCGGTAGGCGCCGCAGCCGCGTGCGTACTCCGACCTCCCAAATCTCCCTTACCTCCAGGCAGTCGTGAAGGAAGTTCTCAGGCTGCATCCACCTGGCCCCCTCCTCTCATGGGCCGCCTCGCCGTCCATGATGTCCACGTGGGAAAGCTCTTCGTAGAGATAGCCCAATTATCCCATGAACCAAAAAATCGTTGTGTAAATTGTCAACAAAAGAAACAAGTTTCTGTTAGGGGCTGTGCTTATGAGAAAGGATGTAAATATTAACTAATTAAGTGTGTGATGTGGCCACTAATCACAGCCTTACTTGAATGTCTTAACGCTTGAGTTAAAATTCAAGGCTCCTTCACATATTGTACATATATTAGGCTTTGTATTAGATTTTTTTTTTCTTCTTTTTCAATCTTAGGCCTTGTATTGAAGTTGAAATGGATTAAAATTGTGATTAATCGCCTAATCTTATTATTTCCTTTATTCTTCTTCAAAAATTAATCTTTCACCATATTACAATATGGATGAAAGTCATGGTCTAAAATGAGATGGACGAAGGTGGAATTAGTTCTTTTAATGAATTAGAGCAAGTGGCCTTGGGTTTGTTAAGAATACATTAGTTTTAACCTTGAGCACGGTGAAAAATCTATTTTAATTTGCATAAGGGCCCCTTATGTTGTATTTATTTATTTATTTGGAACCTCGAGGTTATATCAGTTAAATAACTTCTCAAATCAAAATTTATGTGTTACATCTAAAGTTAAAAAATTGTCAATAATAATTGTGGTAACTTCTCTATATTAATTGTTGAAAGTCATATTAACTTTTTGAGGTGAGATATTAGCTAGAGATTTGGCCTATATAGATGTCCAATTAACAGCTTATTGGCTCTATAGGAAACAAAACCCTAACCGTACAGTAAGTCCTTCCCAACCTTTCTCTTTATATATATATATATATATACACACACACTAACCCCTTAGTATCAACTAATTATATTGAGTCTAGACTTCATGAACAAGAAATTCTCTTAACATCTATTTTTTCATTTACAAACTCAAACTCAAAAACTTATTTAAAACAAACAGAGCTCCCTCCTTTTATTCAAATCAATAGGTAAGTGGTAGCCCCCCTCTTTTACTCTACTAATTGTTTTCCTAATATCTTATATTGCAATTGCAATTCTCTATCCTTTTTATTTTCCTTTAACGATCAAAACCTTAGGGGAGGAAAAAAAAAAAGCCTTTTTGCAAGGGCTAGTCGGCACCTTATTTCGTGTTTTAGTTGTCGATTGAAATCCAGTAGAAGTTGAAAAAAAAGGGTACGAGTTGTGATGGTTCTTTTTGCAGGTTTTTTAGTGAACAAAAGAACAACCTTATCAAAGTCTTGGTTGCTTTTTGCTTAGCTTGGGTACAAAGGAAGTGTTTTACATTTGTGATTATAGTACCTATTTTTTTGTTCAATTGTTTCCGTTAAGTTTCAATTGAGTGAAATCCTTTCATGCAATAATGTATCAGGATAGTGATTTTGTGGATATTTATGCTAGTATAAGTTAGGCAGATTTATTGGGATGCCCTGTTTGCTTCTTTGAATTTTTGAAGGATTTTGATTCAAAGATTCTATTTAAACACAGATTGTCCTAAAATATCATACGATAGTTGTTACGCCTCAAAATCGGGAGCGAAACAAACACTGTATACTTAAGAGAGGATCTCATAAATGCACAAAGCTCAGAACTTATTTATACCACAAAATCTACTCTAATACCACAAAATCTCAAAGTAAAATCTATCTTACAAAAGAATGATTTATATTTCGAAAAAAATTTATGCCCAAAATACAAGTAACTAGCCTTCTAGCTTGTCACTGCCCTTGGTTTCCCATGTCTCGGTCCTCACTAACTAAAATGGTGGATAAAGAAAAACTAATGAGATAACTCAATAGGTAAAAATATGAATAGCTCTTAATTAAAGTTATAGCATGCGAACAAGTGTAATCAAGTATCAAGAAAAAGAACAGTACAACTACGGGAATGAAATAAACGTCTGCTCTATAGGTCATGGTCAGCATTTATAAACCTTTCACTAGTAGGCATAGGAATACATAATGGACTGGTCCTACAAATATACATGTCAACATGTGTTAACGTTTATAAACCTCCCACTAGCGGGCACAAGAAAAAATGACCATATTGGAGGCTAAAACATGCAAGAGTTACAAGAAAATCCATAACTTACAAATCAACTTTCAGGTTATCAGAATAGTTTAGTAAATTCCAAGTAGGCATGCTCAAATCAATAAATGATAACTTCATTTAGCCAATCATGCTCATGTTTGAGTAAAACGAGTTTAGTCTTGCCACCACTTCAAAATAGTTTAAAATATGCTTTAAAAAAAAAAAACTTTTATCTTAAAATCCAAGGGCATTATCATAATTTTACTTACCTCCCCTTGTCGCTATACAATTAGCAAGAATTTAGTTCTCAAGGTGGCGGAGATGATCTAGAATAGGAAGTACTAGAAAAATGGTAGCCTCTCCTCACACCCAACATAGACCAAAAAATGGGAGGATACCAGCAGCAAGATCTTATTCTAGTGGGATGAAGAAGGCATGGGGTAGGGCTTGTTAAGCAAAATTTCTACTGAAAGCTGAGGGAAAACCACGATAAAAAGGCAAGGAGAGAAAGAGGAAATCAGCTCAACCCTTTTTATCCTCAAATTTTTACTTTTAACCCCCTTAGCTTTGTAAATTTTAACTATTAAATCCAACAAAAATAATTTCACCACATAAGTCCCTAACTTAAATTTTAAGGTCTTAAAAAATTTTGAAATATTACAATAGTATAAAGGGAGAAAAAAAGAAGATACTAATTTGAGGAGATCAAACTCCTATTTAGTAGTACAGTAATATTTGCAAGGTAATATAATGAAAGGGGGCTATTGTACCATCAAGCTGCTTGCTCTTTTTAAAGCTGGCACAAGAAGTAAGATTACTCAGTGGTTGAAGAAGCTTAGAAAGTAATTTTTCTACATCTTGTAGCTTTGTTGTTGTTCATATAGTCACATATCATTGTTTTATTTTAGATGAATTATGCTAGAAAGAGACTTAACTCTCATATCTCAAGTTTGAGTTTGATTACACTATCATGTAGGCATTTTATTTTACCCCTTTAGACATATTATCTACTTTAATTTATGGCGTGATTATAATCAATTTGTGTTATAAGTCATGCTCCTTTATTTTTATGTAATGCCAATAAGGCTAATTAAATTAGCTATTTAGATACAGTTAATAACTGATAATTGATATCTAATGACTAATAATCATTGTTATTTATAATTCAAAATTAATATCTAAGAGGTCTTTGGTTTGGATTTTGGCTAATAATTATTAAGTGTTGGTTCTAATTGAATAGATTAAATACTTTTCATTTTAAACAACAACAAACATCAGCCATTAGATATCAACTATCAACTATTAACCATATTTAAAAAGTTAATCAAACACTCATCTAATCCATTTGATTAGAGATAACTGTTTATAAAAAGCCAGAAGAAACACATCCTATATGACAAATCATGGATATATTATAATCCTTATATTATTAATATATCTTTGGTGTTATTAAAAAAAGATGGATTATTGGCTCCAATATTGAATTTATCAAAAACTATGCATATACTTAAATCTAATTTTTAATTTAGGATGTTCAAATTTAATTATTTACTTTTTCTTTTTACGATGTCAATTAATATATTTATTTCTATTTTACTCTTATTTAAAAAAAGATAATTACAACATATATATAATTAGATTTTTATTTAAGTAGGAATTAATTGGGAATAATAATGAAATATTATCAATAAATTAAAAGACACTAATTGATATATATTTCAATTCAATATACTGTACAATATATTCATTAAAAAATAATTATTTTTTAGTATGAAATTAAAAACATACAAATTTAAAAATGTAATTATGCACATTAAATATAAAAATTTATTGAATTAATTATATTTATATTATATTTTTAGTTAGAGAACCGGAAGCATCCCCTGGCTCAATAATAAATGAGGGGCCTAGCGAAAAGGCCTAAGAGGGGAAGACCCAAAAAGAGCACTACCGGTTACTGAATGTATTACAATAGATGTTAAGATCATTTGGAGGACAAAAAATTAGAGATTCAAAATTGCAAAGTCCACTCCTTGTGGAACAATGTAATGAATGACAAACTAAGCTATTATGCTGCTCAATGCAGAGACAGCCTCCATTCTTAAGTCAACTGCGATTTCTAAACATTAAACAAAACAAATCTACTATCTATAGTCTGCTACATCAATGCAAATGCAGTCCTTCAAACGTGCCTGCATGCCAGAATGCAGGGAGTTGAAATACGCTATTTATACACGAAACTAGACTATAGTTTTTGAGCTACCTACTTAAACAATATCAAACAGCATATGCGATGAAAGATCTGATCCGTTGCAACAGCTCAGCCTTCACATTATCAGGCACAGTTTCTGCACATAGACAAGCAATGCAAAAAGCTCAATACTGATTCTCATTGATGCCCCCAAAGGGGTGTCTCAAATGGTTAAGAACATGAGACTCCACGTTGGAGTTCTTGAGTTCGAATCTTGAGACAGGTGGAGAGGAATTAAGGGAAGGGGAAGGCAATCCCCTATTGTATAACCCATCATCGGATGACAAGTTGTGTGACAGATTGAGTGCATATGAAGGCATTAACTTGCAACAGGTAAAAGAAAATAATGTTTATAATTTATTCAATGAAAAATTTATATACACAACAAAAACAAGTAGCCAATAGCCCTGCCAAACAAATTGGGTGACTGGAGTCTCAATTCATTAATGATGCTCAACATACAAGAATTAGTTTAATTAATATCTCATTGCTCAATTTAATAAAATTATCTTTGAGAAATAACATTGAAGCCTGTCATTTAGCTTGAAGCTCAAACTAAACCCAATGTTATAAAAACCAAATGTTAACGTGCATTAAAGTCATCAGTATCTTGTTACATATGTTTCTTTAAGAGTTCATACTTCTACTCCTGAGTTATAATTCAAGATGAATACTAAGCCTAAATATCCTAACACTGACACTCTTCCGTATAAAGCTCTCACAACTCAATATTTCCCACATTGCAATAGCTTCTTTCACATTTCAACCCAATGGTCTCTGTGAAACCCGTACCATGCAGACTTGTGCTTAAGCTAGGCCCCTAGAACCACAAACCCACTCTCTAAAACAATAACAAAAAATGGTTGGATTTCCGAAATAAAATAAAAAATCTCCAGCATCAAATGTTAATTGGCCCAACAATAATTTAATTGCAACTGACTGCAGACAAAAAGCTTCTTTTCTCTTTATCTTTTACACAGTTAGGAAGGAGGAGTTGGGCATAAACTTACCTTTGCCTTTTGGGGTAATTTCGTTTATCAGGTCATCCAGTTTTACACTGTTGGTAACTTTATTCCTCATAAATCCCCTTGAAGAAAACAACATCAAAACTATGTTACTCAAGTGTTACAATTAGCAGAATAATATCACCAGTGACTCGGTGAGTTAACAATCAAATTAAAAGCCATCATTACTAAATAATTAAAAGCACAACAAACACATTTCAACTTCAAAAATCAAGAGGGACACGTGAAAATACAAAAGCTACCAAGCTCTATCTCATCCAACCTTTCTTGTCCAAGATAAACCTATGAATTTATAAATTCAGAGTTTTCATATCCAGACTGTATAAACAAAGAATCATAACATAAACCTTGAATTTGAATATCCAAAATCTCAAAGCAAACATGAATTCCTAACGACCCACCTGCAATCTTTATGCAACCTTTCTTGCCCCAAGATAACCCCTAAATTTATTTCTAAACCCAGAATCTTTATATCCAGAATAAACCCAGAATGATGACATAAACCATGAATTTATAAACATTAAATATTTATATCTAACATCTCAAAGCAACACCTGAATTTCTAAACAATCAAGCTCTAATCTTCATCTTATGCAAACTTCACAGCCCAATATAAACCCATGAATCCATTAACCCAGAATTTAAAAACCCATAATCATGACATACACCAAGCATTTACAAACATTAAAAGTACTTAACTTGTCTATTAAACATAATAACAAAATAGAAATCATGATTAGAGAGCAAAGAACCTGCAAAGAGCTCTCATTTCATCCTCCCAACCGCATTCTGCAAGGCGTTCCCTTAAAAGGTCCTTTAATCTCTCTTTCTCGCCGCTCTGAATCATCTGTACATGCATACCCAATATGATTCAGACGAAAATTAATCTCCAAATCGGCAAAAAAAATCCCAATTACATAAAAGTGGCACGAAAACTTAGTAAGGGCACGATTCGATCAATTACAATGAGAAAACAAGAAGAAAAAGATGGGATGAAAGAAAACCTTGATGTTGACGGATTCTTGAAGATCTTGAAGTTCCATAGTCTCTGAATATGGTGTTGGAGAACGGTTGATCAAAGAGAACCCTTTTGGTGTTCCAAAGAAACGATGCGTGTATGTATGCGTTTAGAGAGAATAAGCAAGAAATTTTCGGGTTACTGGTTCGGGTGATCGTTACTTAGTGGTTAACCAGGTAGACATCCGGGAATCGGGACTGGAAGTCCGGAACCAGTAATTGCCGGAGCGCGGGTAAGTTCAGCAGAGGAAATTGAAAGCTTTGCGGTTTAGCGAGATGCAATTTCCTGCTCGCACGGTTGCACTGCTTCTCCTCGGAGATGGATAACGAAAACAACCTTTATTTTTGGAGTTCAATGTATTTAAGTTTGATGCACTGTTTTACGATTCAAATTATCTGGTAAAATAAAAATTATTTAATGATAAAAGAGCACTAATCTTAAGGGGAGTGGTTATATTATACTGTTAATATTTTATGATTTAAATTATAATAATTAATATTTTATAATTTAAAATAATTCTAACTATAAAATATTTTTTTATTTAAGTTTATGCTGAATGTTGAAAAGGACAATTTTGCGGATGAAGTTACTGATTATCATTCATGAATACTTACAATAAAAAATTGTATAGAGAGTACTTTAATAATTTTAAGATAAAAATTACAATTTTAATATACTTTTGACTTGAAAAACTTTTTTTTTTGTTTTTATACCTGAAAACACTTTTTTTTTTTTTTTAAAGAAGGGTAGTTTCTTGAATTTATTCTGTTTTCTTAATCTAGATCTTAAACTTATTATTTGGTCAAATAAGAAATCTACCCCTTCATTTAATTTTAATATTCTTAA